TCATATACTTATACTTCATTTATAGAGCATTTTTCGCTAATTACGCTGCTTAGGGTCTTTCTTTATAATGCATTTTTGTCATGTTTTGATGTTTTTCTTGGGAGTTTTCACATAGGGATAACCTCATAACTTCCTTTCAAGTCGCCTATTATTGTGCTTTGTTGTCTTATTTGTATCGCTTTTTGCTAGCCTCTGCTCTTACTTGTATTTTACTATTTGTCAATAATTTATTTGCGATTTGAATAAACTATGTATGTATGTATGTATATACGCAATTCCTTGGAGACTAGCACTGAAGGTCCGACAAGAGGATTGTTTTGATACGTGAGGTTTACTTTTCTATGAAGCTCAGRATTATTCAGGGATTTAACAGTCGGGTTTTCTTCCGTGGAGATTTTGTGGCTGAAGAAAGAAAAAGGGAGAATGAAGGGAATGAGCTGAGTCTATCCAAGAGAATATGAAGTAAGTACTTCATATTCTCTTGGTCTAGTGTGCCGGGAGTGTATCGCGCTGAGCTATCCACCACAGCAATATCGATGACTGAGCAAGACAGAAGATAATAGTCTGCGTTACTTGGCGGTCTGCGGTAATTATCTCGTCATAGAAACCGCAGTAATCCCAAAACAACGCAGACTCAGAAGGCGAGGAATAATTCGTTTCGAATAACTCGTAATAGTTCGCGAGGACTTACGAATTATATGCTAAGAGAAGTTAATTCCTACAGGTTATCAGGCTACGGGCACCAGAATCGTCAGTGCCGATATAGTTGTAGCTGTATGAACGTATATCAGTTGAGAAATTTAGCAAGGAATTCTATTAAACTTCAACATCAATTTATTATTTTTTAACTAAAAACTATTGACAATCTGAATTGATTAATTTCATGATGAGAGGAAACGCTCTTTTCTGCTCTTTGAATCCAAACGGTGACACGGTGGTCGAATCGCATCCCAGCGTACTCTTCCCACGATTCCCTGGAGCTAAGCGACCAAACGCCTTGCACAGGTTTTTACTGGTATATTCAGCGTCTGGTACCAACGTCACGCAAGTGGCATATCTGGTTTGTATCGGTATTTAATGGACATGGAGGTCACGATTGCGTTAGGCTGGAATTTCAGCAGGGGGCCTGGTTACTAGAGGTCGATTGCTATGTAGACGTCGCAATAGTGTCTAAGCGCCTTTTGTTGTCCTGAAGAGAAAGGGTTATTTAATCAGTAACACTTGATACGCCTTAATAAATGCTCTACACAAATATGCAAGGGGGTTGCAAGGAGCCACGCGATTCTTGGAACATTCCTAAGTAAGGCCGACCATTGATTCTAGTCCACTCCTAACCGTTTGGATTGAATCAGTGAGTTCAGTAGCCTAGCAAGCCCTGTTCTGTACGGCTGCTACTGATAGGCTTTTGAACTGGATTGTGGTCTGAAAGCACGCGCAACTACTGATAATTACTTTCAGTTGGGAGTGTGCAGCTTTGGACTAGAAACATGGTGACTTCGAGACCACCGATTCTGGTTGTCGTAGCTTTATTATGCGCTATATGCATCTTAGTTCACGGTAAGTAGCATTTGGAATTTATTCTTTGCATTATTAAGAACTTGGGAAAATATTCTGGTAAATAGCATTGTCAGGTTTTGTGATAATGGGTCGTTGTCTGTTGATTAGAAGAGCTCAGGGTCTCTTGATCGGTCACTGGAAGCAATCGCTATCGAGACAATAGACGTCTGTTTAGCTCGCTCTGTTTTCCTGATATTTACTCATCCTTCCTGCAAAAATGTGTTGTTATATACACTACTTAATATAGTCTATCTCGCATCCCTAATTGTTTTTGTTTTTTCATTATTTTTAACGAGAATAACGAAATAAGACATTTCTGAGTCTATTAAATGTCTGGCTTACTCAATTAGGAACATATTTTTCTAGCATAAACATGCTATACTAAAGCGGGGAATTTCAATGGCCTTTAGTATCTTTAAACCTAGCAATTTATGCCTCTGCGACTGCAATTGATGTCTTCGGCTTTCATACTTGCTTTTAACAGTTTCAGCACTAGTATAGTGATTTAGGGATTTCAGCGTTGATTGTTCATTAATGACTATGTGTGGAAAATGTTCTGAAGGAAAGTCCTTCCAAAAAATACAATATTGTTTCGTATACGTTTGCAATTTTTTGGCAAGGATTTCTTCAGTCCATTGAATATGACGAGAGAAATAGCTTTACTGGTTCATAAAAGCCTTCTTTATGAAGCTCTCTGGTTCAAATGCTTTGCTTAGTGTCGGCTAACTTTTATAGTATGTAATTCCATACTCTTTATTCATAATCACTATGCACAAGTTAAATAATAATCGTTGCTTTGATTTCAATTCTTTCTTGGTCGCCTCAAAATTTTAAGACTAAAGACTCCCAGAACAGTTTTGTTTGCGTTTATGATCGTAATTTTAGTTTGTAGTTCTAGCATTTTAATGGATGACTCGAGTCCCTTGTATTGATTTGTGTAATATGGCGTCTCATGGTTATGTTACACCAAGATCTCAGACTTGAAAGATATCTATCACCTGACCTTTGTCACCGTTTTTATCCCATAAAAGACAAACTTCGTATTAAGTTAAAAGAAGAATTGATTTTCCTTTGAAAGGGTGGTTGCAAATGATGCTACTGGCATGCAAGAAAGTGCAAAGCGCCATTGAGCTCACGGAAATGGCGCTATGTTAATGTTTATTTATTATTATATTATTTATTATTAAGAAAGAGCAGGCTGTAATTACATGTCGTAAGGATTTTTGGACCGAATTTGCGGTCCATTTCGTTGTATACCTAGGTTAAAATCATAAGAATAATATTGTTATGCTGTGTTGCAATATGAGGAGAACGCCTAAAGCAATTGTTTACCAAATGTATCGACGCTTTTATGCTAAGGTTGTCACACTTTGGCACTCGTGTGCTGCTAGGATTTAATGTTTAAAGTTAGAAAATGACATCATTGTGTTTTGGCCAGGCAGAGACCTGGTTAGTAATGTTTTTCATTCTTCAATGGAAAAATGAACCTGGTAACCACAGCGGGCTGGTAATGCATATGGCAATGCAGGCTGCAAATTCTTTTGCATCTTCTAGTAACGCAACTGCAGCTTGTATCATGCCACATCAACAGCAGCGACAGTAACTTACAACAAAAAACGATTTGCAGAACATTTTCAAAAATTGCAGAGAAAATTGTAGGATTATCCGTTGCCTCAGTGACTTGTAACTAAACTCAACATTTGAAAATGGCATTACCAGAGAAAAATGTCGCACTGTAACATTATCAGTTGCATCAGTAACTTGCAGCTAAAGACGATATTATAAAATGTTCTCCTCTCTAACTCTTGATTCAAGATTGCTGCGAAATCTAAGAATTGCGTTGTTACGAAGTGTTTCACGTATATATGATATCCACATCCATCAGATGCAAATATTCGCAAGCCAATAACCCATTTAAGTATTCAATATGATACCATTAGTTTGACCTCCCTCTCATCACCCATCACTGATATATTTAAGTACCAAAGGAAAGAAATTATCTCCCAGCTTTATTTATCTCGTTCTTCCTTTCATAAGACAAACCATAACTTGGTTCGAACTTGGTAGTGTTTTATTAGTGAAATTCATTTCTGAAAAACGGTATGCCGAGTGAAACTTATTAGTTTGCTATCCATAAAGTCTATGATGGAAAGCAAATACACAAATAAGCTAGATTAATTGGAGCACTGCAGAACCAATTTAGTTATTAAACAGAGAAAATGTTATAGCAACTCGTTTTAAATTGCAAGCGAACTCAAGAAAATTCGCTTTCCCACTCTTCCGCTTGTTCCTAAAAATAGTAACTAACGAGCTATCTTTTTGATCGGTGGACCAAAATAGCTACAATGACGTGAAAACAAAGAAAGCCATGACGTCGTAAAGTATGTGATATAATTTTAATGACGTCATCAAATAGAAATTTGTTTGTTTCTGTCACGCAAACGCTCAGTCACGCGATTACCTAAGTGACATTGATCAGTATCGCCCTAACTGGTTGTGATGTCTTTTTCCAGCGGCACCTTCGGGGGACGACCTCGAGCTGTTAAAGGTAACGTGACCCGACACGTGAATGCCAGTTGTATAACACGTGACTTTTTAAAAGAATTTATTTGAATTTCTTGAAATTTTATTCATTTTAATTATTATTTTTTGTCTTTTAGCTTAAATTAGACAAATCGATAGAGCGATCAAGTAGGCAAAGGTACGTACTGTGCCATTAAATTAACAGGTCGTATGATAGGTCAAGTAGAAATCACGTGACGGGTCATGTGATACGTCAAGTGAGAATTACGAGATAGTCACTGAGGGCATGTAACTCAACCCTTGGCGAACGGAATTGCGTGACAAACACTGGTTTCTTGGTCATGTGATAGTAAAAGTGAGAATCACGTGACAGTCACTGAGGTTCATGTGACTCAATCCATGACAAATAGGATAACGCGTGTATATGATACTGTAAAAGCAACTCTCGGGTCCAACACGAAAAGCTGTCACAACGTAAGAGCGTTATATATGTTTTTTTCTTTTGCAGGAGGCAAGCACCTTCAAGAAACACATGCTACTGTAAACCAGGCTGCAACTGCGACTGTCCGGCTGGTATATTTTGTAATGCGGTAAGTAGATAATTTTTTGTTTTTCTCATGGTCTCATAATTGTTGGTCCTTTCTTGATAGTAAATCTTATCTCTGTTTTTTTTTTTTGTGTATACTATATGTGATCCAGTTTTGTAACATGAAATTTGTTTTCTTGTTTCCAGACCCTTCCCGGTGTTGGTTCGAATGGGCGACCAGGCCTCCGAGGAAGACCAGGTTTACGTGGACAAGCTGTAAGAAAAAAAACAATGAAAATATGAGATAAAAATTATCAAATAGCTGTTGAAAAATAGAACTTGGTTGATTTGTTACTATTAAGCACATGATTTTTGCTTTTTCCAGGGTGAGAGAGGCGTTCAAGGGCCTGGTGGAGACATTGGGCGTGCGGTATGAAAACTATTATATATAACTTTTTCGGTTGGTGTTGCTATGGTTCTAAGTTTGTTACTTGTTCAATTCTTTCAGGGTAACCGTGGTAACGCAGGTGCTCCTGGTACCATTGGTGTGCCTGGAAAAGATGGACCCCCTGGTATAACACTCATTGGTGTGAGTTAATAATCCATAATAATTATTATTGCTACAACAATAACTTCTACTACGAGTGAATAAAAACAAAAAACTAGCACTTCATCATGGATATTGGTAATTATAATGTTGCTACTCATCAACAGGCCCCACCAGGTACAGTGTTGACCCAGGAAGAACTGGAACAGATCCTTCAGATCTGGAATTCCATGCAACGACAAATCGTAAGTATTATTCCCTTCTATTCAGTTATAATAAATACATTTTTTAGTAATGTTGCAATGATTTTGTTTTAATAGAGATCAGGCCTCCGTCATGTCGGCCGTGTAGGTCCCTCGGGAAGGCGAGGTGCCCCAGGCACTCCTGGAGAGCCGGTAAGTTTTCTTTTACATCAGACAATCACGTGACGTCAGCCATGTTTGATGATGATGTTGGATTCATGAGAATAGTAAGATAATTGGTGCTAATTAACTGAACAAAAGAAAGTGTGCAAGGGAGTCTGGTCCTATAGATTGCTATCAACAGACGTCACTTCCGGTAATAGCTGCTTTTTTAATGACTTGTAGAACCTTGGAGACTTAACACACGCCAGTTGCTCCTCAGTCAACCGCTTGTTTGCCCCCTGTCAATTCCAAAAAGTCACGTGATCGATAGTAAGCAATTAGCTTCACAAAATCTCATGAAAGGGGGTCCCATGGAACTAACCCTAGATTTGCTAAGACCCATAGAACTCTATAAAGAACAACATATCTTTTAGTGTATTTGTATTTGCAAGCGTGTTTTTAATTTTTTGTTTGCAATTTTTTAAGGGTTTAGATGGTGAGCACGGAGAACAAGGCTTGAAAGGAAACAGAGGCGAAACGGTAGGTTAGGAACCGATGATGTCTAGAACACCAGTGATAGACCTTTTTCTAAATTACCGCTGTGTTCCTTGATGACAGGCTCATTTACTCATCGTTAGCCTCGAATCGGTGTCTAAATATTCACAAATACCAACGGTAAAGTAAAGAATGGACAACTTCAACAATACAAACACTTTGAATTCCACGGACTTTGGAGCACATGAATATTTCGCACAACATCGTGGCTAACCATGAATACCTGGAGTATTCACCCATACCCCCCCCCCCTCCCACCCCCAATGCCTTTCTAAGTTAAAGAATCAAGATGCATTGTGTTCTAGCTTGGGTACAAACAACAATATATAAGGCATGATGAGTATGTTTGTACCAAAGTTAAACCGGAGCGCAAATAAATGTGTCACCAAATAAATTTCTGCGGGTTAAAAAAGAATTTTCTTCCCAGTGTATCAATCCCATTGTAAAGTGCTAAAAATCCCAGTTGTTTTGACTATTAATTTTAATTACATCTTGTAAGACTCTGTTCAGTGTAAATATTGTTAATATTATGCGTTATTTGTACAGGGTCCTCCAGGCCCCCCAGGTCCACCAGGAGATCCAGGTCGACCAGGCAAAGATGTGAGTATCGTGTCTAGCTTTATTTGTTTGAATACCAAGTATTTGTTTACGTCCACCCTTGTTTTCACTGAGAAGGAACGTCTCGCTATTACGGAGCGACTAGTATCGAAATTTAGCCACACAGCTAGAGAAYCATATTTTCAGTAGAATATATCACTGAAAATCATACGAGCAACCAGAACGATTAATAGTTTAAGAATAATATTTACAAACAGCAAGAAAACTTCCATCAAGTGTCTTTATAGGCTCTAGGAATTTCTACTGACGATATTAACGATTTCAAAAGCACTGTAGAATCATTGTAATTCTCTTTGTTCGTGAAGCGTCCTTTAGTTCTCGTTCACTATTGACGATGGAGAGGTCATTCGTCATCTTCYATCACAACAACACGCTCATCTTTATCACTCGTAGTATCCTTGTCCCAGAAGTCAACCAAACTTGCCGCGTACATCTCTTCTTCGCTCGTTATTGAATTAAACTCTATGCTGTCGTTCCTGTAGTCACACAATTCGTTATTCCTTTGATAAAACTGTAAAGTATCCTCTAGCACTCTGTTCTCTGCACGAATCTTTCCCAAACTATCTTTTGTTTTTGTTATGGACAGCTTCAATTCTTGTATTCGAAGTTTAGCCTTTTGCAGTGTTTGTGAACGTGAAAGCTTTGGTTGACATTCGTTTCCATCTTTCTGGTTTTGAATTGAATCTTTCAAGCCATCGAAATGGTCTCTTATGATTCTCCTTCTTCTCTTTTCCATGGCGTTGTGTTTTTCTCTTTTTGGAGACATTATTACTCGACCTTTTCTGTCGAAAACGAAAATAATATTTACAGAAAAATATCACAGCACAGAAAGCATTTGCACGTGAAGTGTGTGATCCGTGAAAAACTCGTGTGCACGTGCAACTTGGTATGATGAAATAAAAGGAATTGATATTTTCTTACTACTTACTTACCGTTCTTGACAGAAATACATTTCATTACTTTAATTTCGTTACTTTAATTGTTTTAGATACCTGTTGTGGGCGACAATGGACACTTACCCTCTCTCCCAGAGAAAAATGATGGGGGGAGGGGTGGGTATAAGTTTTATACTAGATATTTACGGCATTTATTATTTTACAGGGCAGCGAAGGATTACCTGGTCGTCCAGGTCTTCCTGGTAAAAACGGCGAAAAGGTAGGTCCATGGTAGATTACGTCATTTCCTGTTTCTATGGTGATAATCAATCAGCTGATTTCTCTTTGTCATTACTTCAGGGTGATCGCGGAGTGCAAGGACGATTTGGCATGCCAGGAACAAAAGGCCCAAGGGTGAGTCAGAACTGTGTAGAACAAGTCTTGTTCATGGCAAAAGCGTGACACTTTCTAAGTAAAGGCTTTTACCGTGACGGCTAACTTAGCCATTGCTTGACTTCGCGAGCCGTGACGCTTCGTTGCATGACAGCCGTGACACTTCTGTCGTGACTTTGATTCTTACCATTATACATTTGTAGGGCAGGCCTGGTAGGCAAGGTCAGAAGGGCAGACGAGGCATCACTGGAGAAAAGGTAATATTAACTAATATTAATTCATATTTATATTAGCCTTATATAAAACAATCTTTTATTACCGCCCAAAATGCACATGTCACATTTCAGAGACGAATATTAATCGATGTAGTTTAAGGGTGGTGTTTTCCCATTTATCTTTCCATTTCATATCTCATTCGAAAAACATTCTTTTTTTTTTTGTTCACATTAATGTTACCGGTAAACAAAGAAACCTTACTAAAGGGAATGAAACATGGTTTGAAATGAGAAAACATACGCCCAAGCTAGATTAATTTTTTGGAAGGGAAATGAAGTTAGGACTGTGCGCATGACAAGTTAATGTTTTTCAGTTTCAAGCTTTAGTTCTGTTGGTTTGTTGTTTTACATGATAGGGAGGTCAAGGAGCTGTTGGAAAATCAGGAAAACCTGGAGAACAGGTAAGTTTGAAAATAGATCAATTCAACAAAATTTTAAAATCATAAATCTTATTCGGGGAAAAAATAACGATAAGAGGGGGAAGCAACAAAAACGACAAAACAAACAGAATGTGGTATGCTTTTGATGGAGAAGCCAGAYGTCCTCCACAAAGGTGATGTTTTAGGTCGGAGGGTCGGAGAGTCGGAGGGTGGGAGAGTCGGATGTCAGATTGGTTGTGGGTAGGAGAGTCGGATGGTCTTAGGTTTGGATGTCCGGAGGGTCACAGGATTGCAGGGTAGAGAGTCGGTGATCGGAGGGTAGAGGGTCACAGGGTCGGAGGGTAGAGGTTCGGGGGTCGGAGGGTAGAGGGTCACAGGGTCGGAGGGTAGAGGTTCGGGGGTCGGAGGGTCGGACCACGAAAGCGCTCAAAAAAATCGTTGACACTAATAAGACAATATAACATTTAACTTGTTTTTCAGGGCGTACAAGGACCACGTGGTCTCCCCGGACCCGCGGGATCACCAGGAATCAAGGTGAGATGAAAATTACTGCCGTGGTATTCTGAGTACAGCCCAATGTGAATTAGGCAGCACCGTAGTTTTATAAAAGTGGTCACCTTTTATTTATCAATCAGAAAATCCCAAAATTTTCGGCCCCCCATTTAACTCTTGATCATGGTGAGGCCCTAGAAGGATCGACATCAACTTCCACGGTTCTATCGCTGCTGCTTGCCGTAGAGATATATGTCAAGAGGATATTTTGGCTTCACTTCTATTGCTTAGAAAAGTGTCCTTTTTTATTGCAGGGCTCAACGGGATTGCGCGGTGTTCAAGGGCCCCCTGGACCCAAGGTGAGTCATTATTGTTAAATAATTATTGATATTCGTTCCTGATAAAAAATATTGAAAATTTCACGTGTATTTGGTTTCAGGGAAGCGTTGGAGTTCCTGGTCCTCAAGGCATCCCTGGTTCTCTTGGTGCTCGTGTAAGTAATTATCTTAGTTTGGTATGTAGTTAGCATTCAGGAAGCACAGAAGGTTTTGCTTCAAATTTCGCGCGCAGTTCTTAATTTGTCTCCCTCATTTGCCAGCACTTAGGAAAATGACTGACCATAAGACCGTGGGCTCTTGGACTTCCTGGCGAGTCAATATTTCATTGTATTTGTACAAATCCAACAAACCCGGCTCCTATACTAGTAGGACCCAAATAGCGCACAATTTTAAGGGATTGTTATATACTTATTAATATGCATATGTACTATGATACTTTTTAGGGCGAAGCTGGTGCTGATGGTTCTCCTGGACCCTCTGGACCAACTGTAAGTGATCACGTGACTAGTCACCAGTCTCTAGCGTAAAAGATCTCATAAACTCGTTACAAAATACCTTTGATGGACTTGATTTTGAAGTATTTTGGTTGTTGTTTTTTTAGGGAGACGTTGGCAACCCAGGCCCTCCCGGTCCAAGCGGAGATCGTGGCGCCCCTGTAAGTYATGTGACATGTAATTTATTACGACGTATCTGTAGTTTGATCTAGTCATGTCAGGGTGTAACGGTGTGAGAGATTGATACGCTACTTTGGTTTGATAGGGTGCTGCAGGAGCTGATGGCGTTGCAGGAGAGAAGGGTAGTCCGGTGAGTCTTACTGCTAGTATAACGAATATTATACATATATATAAAAATGGATTCACCTGGATTCACCTCTGACATTACTAAAGTACGGCCAAGATTACATACTTTTGTTTCAATGCTAACTGTATTTTCAATGCTAACGTGCTTTTATTTCACTTTCCTTGTTTTTCCCCTGTTGTAGGGATCACAAGGACCAATGGGAGGCATCGGAATCAGCGGAGGCTTAGGACCAAAGGTATGGAGTACTTATTTACTAGACAATATTCAAATGTCTGATTATGATAATGTTGTTTGTAGGGTAATGAGGGAAGAGGAGGACGAAACGGACGAAAGGGAGACAAGGTAAGCTTACGCACAGTTGAGGGGAAGGTCTGTTTGTCATTTTGAACGGGGGGAGGGGACGGGATTTATCATGGAATATATTTTTATTTTATGTTTGGTGTCAGGGTCCCAGTGGAATCAAAGGCACGAAAGGGAATCGTGGACCCAAAGGAGACAAGGTATGAAGATTAATGAAAGAGGTAGTTATAGAACCATTCAGCCGCAACCGACCAGCTAACCGACTGATCGACCGACCCACCTAACAATGCGACAAACAATCAACCAACCAACCAATCAACCGACCGATCGACGAACAGAGAGCCAACCAATCAACCGTCTAACCAACCCATCTACCCACCTGACAAACAATCCATCAATCGTTTTTCCCTGACGATGGGTTTGTAACCCGAAAGCTCGGAGCAGGAATATGAAAATAAAAAAAACGTGGTTGAAACAAAAAAGTAGTAAAATCCATCAATCATTTAATTAATCAACGTTAAACCGACCGATCGACCATGCAGCCGAGTAATCTACCGACCAACAAACTAACCACACTATCACCAGTTATTGAACAAAACGTTGTGTTCTGCATTTTCTCCTTTCAGGCCCCTGATGGCGCTAGTGGTGAAGTTGGTGTACCAGGCGTGGCCGGTGCTCCTGTAAGTAGCTATAGAATGCCGTGTCAAGGCTTGCAATTTACTTCAATTCTTGTTTAAAGCCAACTATTGTTTAACAGGGTGAGGAAGGAAGACTTGGACCAGTTGGACCTGTTGGTGCTACCGGACCCAAGGTATGTGTCACGTATATGTAACGCAACATCTGTGTCACACTTCTAGTCAATACCCAATACAGTATTTATGAATTAATTATTTTTACGCAGGGCGTTCAAGGCTCTCCTGGATATCCTGGTGCTAATGGAGGCAAAGGAGATAAGGTGAATAAGACATCAAATGATGAGAAAATCTTCATTTCTTCGAGAAAAAACACACGCCCCAGAGCTGATGTTATAAATAAGTCTTATGTTTTGTTTGTTTGAATACGTTGCTAGGGTAACCGTGGTGGTCGAGGAAGACGAGGTTCGAGAGGAGCCCGTGGAGATCCTGGTCCAACTGGTATTGATGGTCAGGGAGGTGTTGCTGGGCCACGGGTAATCTATCTTGACCTATTCGCTTTTCAAACATATTTCAGTTGAAAGCTAACGGGAAAACTGGTAACAAGTTAAACTCGCGTGGAATTCTGGGTCCGAATTGCAGATACACTTGTCAGCGGTTTGTTATTTGAAAGAGTCACGTGAAATAAGTGACAATTCCAGATCGTACCCAGAGCCCACGTTCTTCTTGGTCAGCACCGAGAAGTGGTACTGGTGCGTTTCTCGGTACTGACCAAGAGGAACGTGGGCTCTGGGTACGAGATTGGTGAGTATGGATTTGACCCATAGGCTTGCTTTCATGATTTTAAGAGAGAGGAATGTTTGACCGCAGGCTTTACTTAATAACAGCTATGTAAGAACGTGTTTACGTTTATAACCCACAATTCCATAAGAGGAGTATTCGTTACCAGGCTCTACAGTTGGCACGCAACGAAACACGATTCGTCGAAAACTCTTGATTTGTTTTCTTTAATTTGAAGGGAGTTCGTGGAGCGAAGGGAAAACCAGGCTCTCCCGGACGACCAGGACCACCGGTAAGGCATGCGCATGCGTTATCAATAATACATGTTCCTATGTACAGCAGTTCAAAAGACCTCTTGCCCGAACAGCCACAAAAGATTACCTGGGTATTAGCTTTTTCTACGATGATTCAACAAGCGTGCCACGATGGAGAAGATATTGCTCAATGGTAGGGGGAGTGGGGGTAGTAATAGTTTTCCATTTTGTAGAAAGGAAACATCACTCTTCAGTAGTAAACCATAGTCAATAGATGATTAACTATGAGTAAACCCAACAAATCATCATTGTGTTTTTTCTCTATTTGGAAGAGGGAGAGGACAATGGGTATCTTTAACACCACCACCCCTCCCCCCCCAGTATACCAGTGTGTGTGAGTATATCATACATCGTAGTGACAGATTTTTCTGCGGTATTTTTTAGGGTTACCCTGGCAACCCTGGTCAACCTGGCACTATCGGAGGAGCGGTAAGTTGTGATTGGATTTTCTTCTTTTTCTTCTTCTTCCTCCTTTTGGTTGAGCGTCCCTCTATTTATTAATAAATTCATGTGATTATTATTCTGTACTTGATATGGTCAGGGTCCGGATGGATTTAAAGGGCCACCAGGAGCAGCCGGTACACAAGGACCAAGGGTACGTAATTCCGGTTCCTCGTCATCTTTCTCCTGTCTTTTCTGGTATTTATTCTAACCTTTCTGTTTTGTTTACTCCAGGGAGCTCCAGGATCTCAAGGCGCACCTGGCCCTGATGGTGTTGCCGGACAAACGGTAAATATCACGAAAACACTAGCACTAGTATTCAAAATTCAAAATTACGGATGGAGATTACTTAACTGAAATTCCCAATCGAACGTACGCAACAAGAAATCGAGTATTCTAAGCTTTCAAAGTTAAAAAATTATTTTTATCATCATCATTACCACCACCACCACTACCGCAGAAGCTACCACCACACCACCACCGCTAGCAACACCACCACCACCAACAGTACCACTATCACCGCAGAAGCTACCACCACACAACACCACCGCTACCGCCACCCACCACCACCAGTACCACCACCGCCGCAGAAGCTACCACCACCACCACCATCATTGACATCACCATCATTGACATCATCATCATCTTCAATTCTAAACTCTAACTGTCAATTTCATATTTTCTAGGGCGAAGCTGGAGTTACTGGACCTGAAGGCCTACCAGGACCACAAGGTCCTCAGGTATGTCATACAATTAATCACTTCCTTTATTACTGCTGACCACAAAATCAGAATATGTATTCCCCCCCTCCCCTCAAAATATGAAATGCAATAGAAGCATCCCCTTCCCTGCTCCACTGTGTAGCATCAATATAATTTCGCAAATATCTTTCAGGGACCCAAAGGAAATGCCGGAGCAGCAGGAGATAAAGGTGTCATTGGAAAGCAAGTAAGTCCACCATTCTTTTGCACTTGACTGTAAAGTTCTAAGAGAACTTGTCATCTCTTACTACATTGTTTGTCCATGTTGTAGGGCGGTAAAGGAGAACCTGGAGAGAAAGGAGATCGCGGTCCTGATGGTAGCCAGGTAATTTTCAGGAATGTTAACCATGAATTGATTCCTCAACATTCTAGAGTAGCTAGAATAGACCGATAACACATGTCTTGTGTTCCATCATGTAGGGACCGCTTGGAACGCCTGGCAGGAATGGTGAGAATGGAGTAGACGTAAGTGGGATTCCTTTCTTTCTTTAGTATTATTTTTATTGTATTTGATGTAGGTGATGTCAAGAAATCAAGATAAAATCTTTTGATCAAGTCAACCAACATGGCGTCTATGAAGTCACATGCACAAGGACAAAAGACATGGCCGCCATGTTGGATGACATAACGAAAGAAATCAAGACCAAATCTTTTGATCAAGTCCATGGATATTGCGGCTATATGGCGTCACATATAAGAGTCCTTTTTAGCTTGGGCGTAATGTTTTCCCATTTCAGACCACCTGCCATCTCATCAAGATTCTTTGTTTGAGTTGTATCCATATTAGAAAGCGTTAAGGGTAAACAAAGTAATGATACTGAAGGGAATGACACGTGGTCTGAAATGGGACAACACTAGGTTTGTTCAATTCTATACTCGAGCATTAGCTAGTTGACAAGCCTTAACCTGTCTTGTAGCCGATATGCCATTCAGCGGATTGATTGTTCATTAACATTGTTGAATATCGGATTTATATAAATCAATAATGTATTAATTATTATAATTATTATTTCCCAGGGAGCACCGGGCGAGGACGGTACRAGAGGCAATCCAGGAGCGGCGGTATGCCCTTTATTTTGGAACCTTTTCTGGTTATAATTTGTTTAACTTGATTTATAAAACATCCTGTTATTTTCCAGGGTCCTCAAGGCCTCCGCGGGATTCCTGGAGCTGCTGGCAAAAGCGGTGAAATGGTAACTAATTTACACCGCTGACCAGTAGTCGGGCAATGACGTAACGTGAAATGGCTTCGCTTTGAATCAAAAAGACACAAAAACGCAAATCATCCAATCACGGAGTTTGATTAGGGAAGCTTTTTCAGTGCTACACTTCTGTCCTTCTGCTATTCTGTTCGGGCCATATTTGCTGTTAGGGTAGAATTATTTTTTTGCTGAAGCAAAAATTACATTCTTCTTTTTGTTTTCAGGGTCCAGAAGGACCAGCCGGACCCCGAGGAAAAAGCGGTCCTGGTGGTCCCCAGGTACGTTCTGTAAATAACCATTAGATTTGGTAGTAAATAGACCTATCTAATAAAGTGCATTGATGTCCCACTAGGGCCCTGAAGGAGCCGTTGGACCACCTGGAGCAAATGGTGCCAAGGGAGACATGGTAAGGACTCAAGTCAAGCCTTGTGCGCTTGCAAAGATCTATGGTTCAATGTACTTTGAATTGACAGTCTCATTTTGCCTTGTATGCTCAAAGTTGATTAATATTTATTAATATTTTATTAATTCATTGATTTTTTTAAGGGTCCTGATGGAGAACAAGGACCTAATGGCAATCCAGGTGCTACTGGGCCTGATGTAAGTCATGATTATTTTTAGCGATTTATTGATGATTTATAAATAATTTATATAACATTCATTTTCATATTCTTCTAGGGTAATAATGGTAATGCTGGTCCTGTAGGAGCTCAAGGGCCCAAGGGCGAAAGCGTATGTATTTTTTACATGTATCTTCATGTAGTGTTGTTTTGAAAATAATAACGAGCAGTTTGTCGGGTCAGTACCTGGTTATGTGACCACTATACCTCACAGGGTTATTTTCATGCTTTAATCCATTAAATTCATTCACTCATTCATTCATGCATTCATTCATACATTCGTTCGTTCGTTCGTTCGTTCGTTCGTTTGTTCATTTGTTCGTTCGTTTATTTATCTATTCATTCTTTTTTATTTTAGGGTGAGCCTGGTCTAGCTGGAGTTGCTGGACGTGATGGACCAAGAGGACAGAGAGTAAGTCTCTAATATAGTAATATTCTATTCATAGTTTTCAATACATCGATGTACCAAATCGTAATACTTCAATTATATTTGTCCTTCACTAGGGCAGTGCCGGCCAACCTGGTCAACCTGGTCCCCCCGGACCCATAGGAGGTGCCGTAAGTATTCATTATTATTATATGAATAGATAGGGAGGGGTGTGGTAGGCTTGAAACTTTTACGCTGCGTATGAGGTTCTCGGCGCCTCTAACAAGAAAACTTGCCCGCGCCTTTTGTTGTGTTGACTACAGAAACATCCGAAGAGCTCTTTAATGTATATATTTTTCAACATATTGAACAATTTGAAGTTTTATTTTTTATTTTTTGGGGGGTTTTCAGGGAGAAGCAGGAGCAAGAGGAGCAAGAGGAAAGATGGGACCATCTGGGGATAGGGTAAGTCTACTTAGGTCATTAATCTGAGAGCACAGTCTTCTATGATGAAGCCGCCATTTTGGAGGAACTCAAATTAAAGTTGTTTATTTCTTTAGATTATTATCATCAAACATGGCACACACGTCTTTGCGTATTTACCGTTTTTTAAAACATATGAATGTGTTTTTCCATAGGGAGATATGGGACCCACAGGACCTGGAGGACTTCCTGGTCCCCAAGGAGAACAGGTTCTTATACACTTTACTTTAAAACATATTTCAGCACATGGACAAGTATGGGTGTACATAGGAATATTTCATCCTTAGGGTATGGGAGGTTTACACACATTTCAGCACATGGACAAGTATGG